TTTTCTCCATTTTTCATCCTTAATGGCTTCTTCGGCATCCACTGGTTCATCGTCAATGAAATGACAGTATAGTGTCAATTCATCACCTTCAATGGTTGTAGTTTCCTCATATAGATCTTCAAGTCTTCTATACTTCTGTGGCCTTTCTCGGGGACTTTCACTAGATTCTCCTTCTGGGCTGGCAGGATCTCTGTGACTGGATGGACTCGATACAGGTGTATCTGTATCTGGTTCATCATCACTTTCATCCATAGTGAATGGATAAAAAGTGTAATTTTTCTTTGTTTCAGCAGTCCAATCCCATGTTGCTTCTTCATCAACCACCACATCTCTGCTGATGATCAGCTTCTCTTCCACGGGATCAAACATCTTATAACCTTTTGAGTGTTCTGAGTATCCCAGGAATATGTACTTCTTGCTTTTGTCATCCAACTTCTTCCTTTCTTGATCCGGTACGTGCACATATCCGACACTTCCGAAGACTCGGAGGTGAGAGACTGTGGGTTTCCTTTCGCTCCATGCTTCTTGGGGTGTTTGATTCCAAACACTTTTTGTTGGTGGCCTGTTCAACAGGTAGACTGCACAATCAACAGCTTCAGCCCATAGCTCATTTGGCAGGTTTTTGCTCTTCATCATACTTCTCGCCATGTTGAGTACAGTTCTGTTCTTCCTTTCAACAACTCCATTCTGCTGTGGCGATCTTGGCATTGTGAGAAACCTGCGAATTCCTTGATATTCACAGAACCTTCTGAACTTCTTGAGCATAAATTCTCCACCTCTATCTGATCTCATTGCTTTGATGTAGCGGCCACTTTCATTTTCCACGAGCATCTTGAACTTCTTGAAAGCTTCAAATGTATCTGACTTCTGCTTCAAGAAGTAAACCCATGTCTTTTTACTGTAGACATCAATGAATAGTAGAAAATATTTGTTCTTCCCGAAAGATGTTGGGGTGATCGGTCCACAGAGATCTGCGTGGACGAGCTCAAGCGGTGCTTTAGCTCTTGACAGGGACTCCTTCGGGAAACTTGCCCTGAATTGCTTCCCAACTAAGCATCCTTCACACAATTGGTCTGGATGATTGATTATTGGCAGACCATTCACCATCTTCTTCTGACCCAGTAACTTTAGACCTTCAAAATCCAGATGACCAAATTTGAGATGCCATAGCCATGTAGTGTCTTTCACACACGCTTTCAGGCACTTCGCCATTTCTGTTTGAATGTTCAGTATGAACATTTTATTTCTCAACATTGGGACTCTGGCCAACAACTGCTTCTTCTCATTTAGCAGCTCCAATTGACGATTCACCATGTGGACTTCATAATTTTTCTCCATCAGCTGGCCCAAACTTAGGATGTTACTAGTCATGTCCGGGATATAGTACACATCACTGATAAATTGCTGCGAGCCATTCTTCAATCGGATGAGTATAGTTCCTCTGCCTTTGATAGGAACTTTCGAGGAATCTCCAAATACGACATTTCCTTTTACTGATTCATCCATATCCACGAACATGTTTCTTTTTCCACACATGTGGTTGCTTGCTGCATTATCCAGATACCACATGTTATCTCTCGGTTTTTCATCTCCTTGATGTGACAGCATTAATGTGCCTTTGACTTCTTCTTCTTCTTGCACGTTGTTTGTTGTCTCCTCCACTTCTTTAGGCGGACTCCAACATTCTGATGCATAATGCCCGTACTTCTAGCAATTATAGCACTGACGTTGGATTTATCACGACCTTCATTTGATCTCCAACTTCCTCTTCCACGTCCACGACCTCTACCTCTGGTGGACGATTCATAGTTCGTGGTGAAATTTCCTCCGTCTCTGTTTTGATATGCTCCTCGGGCTCTACCTCTTCCTCTGCCTCTATAGTTGCCTCTGCCTCGACCTCTGTACTGAACTCCTCCTCGGGCACCTTCTTTCTCCTCGGCGGTAGCTTTTGTAGCTAACACTTGTTCCGACGATTCTTCATTTCTTTTATTTAGCCTCTCCTCTCTGGCTTGCAGTGAGCCGATGACTTCATCCACCGTCATTTTTTACACATCCTTAACTTCCTCCATGGCCACCACCACATAGTCAAACTTTGGTAATAATGATCGTAGAATTTTCTCCACCACTTTGGTCTCTTCAATTTTCTCCCCATACTCCTTCAGTTTGCTGGCGATAGACTTCACATGGGCGGTGTAATCTGAAACAGATTCACCTTCCTTCATTTTCATGGCTTCAAAATCTCCCCTTAGTGTCTGAAGTCAAACCTTCTTTACTGGTTCCACGCCTTGCATTTCCTTTTGCAAAATCTCCCATGCTTCCTTTGCTGTGGTAACATCTACTATTTGATCGAACATGGATTCATCAAGACATTGATGAATTAGAGTGAGTGCCTTTTGATCACTCTTTCTATTTTTTCTCAATACCTCCTTTTCAGCAGGAGATAATCGAGAATCCTCAACGGGAATCTCGTAACCTTTTTCGACAATATCCCAAGCATCTTGGGATCCTAGCAAGGCTTTCATACGAATGCACCCATTTTTGTAATTGGTTTTGGTAAGGTGGGGGAATTGAATGGGGAAAGTAGATTTTTCGGCCATGGGACAACCGTGATAACAAAAACACGAGAAATTCTTTTCTGATGTGGAAGTTCAGCTACGCTGCAACCACAGAGCATACTTAAGAATAACTCGGGCTCTGATACCACTTTGTTGGAAATAAAATAATTATTTCCTTTAATCCTTTGGTGGGCACGTATTTGGCAAGGCTTTTGGGTTATTTAATTTGGAAATGGGAGGAAGCTTTTGTGGGGGGAATAGGCGGCAGAGAGAGTTGAGAAAGGAGGAAGGGACTTTTTATTATATCAATTGCTTTGCTCTTTTTCTCTGCATCTCCATCAACTTACAAGCCAGGCCTTTTATAGGCATTACCGACTCAAATATCTTAACCATATTAATGAGGACAGTTGGTAACTACCTTTGTTTTGTGGCTGATCATTTTTTTTTTTTACATTTCAATAATCCCACCAGCCATTTCTACAAGCTTCCATATCACACCACACATTTAGATTTTTTTTCATTTTAACACACAAGCACCACACACTAGGGGTGGGCATTCGGTCGGTTCGGTTCAAACCGAACCGAAATAATGTATACCGGGTTTCCGAGTTTCATCAAACCTCAAACCGAATTCGAACCGAATTATAATTCGGTTCGGTCGGTTCAAACCGAATTATAATTCGGTTCGGTTCGGTTTTGTATGAAAACCGAACTTGTGAGGTTAGCTTGTATTTTTTCTCTTTTAAATTATTTTTCACCTCTAATGTAAACAATAAATATGCAATTAAATGCATCATCAATGATAAAATCAAATATTTCAACACATAAGTCATAAAACACTAACATAATTCAAATATTTAAGTCTCATAATAAGTACAAACATAAAAATCCACCATTTGGAACTTGCAATTATAGTAATTCGGAAAATCGGTTCGGAATTCGGAAATTCGGTTCGGTCGAAAGGACCTTGGTTTCCGAAATATACCCTTTTCTCTTCCGAATTCCGAACCGAATTAATGTTATTCGGTTTCGGTTCGGTTTGAATTCGGTTCGGTTCGGTTAGGTTCGGTTTTACCGAACCGTATGCCCACCCCTACCACACACGTCACCTAACTTCTAGGTGTTTCTGATTTTTTTCAGTTTATTATGATAATTAAAGTTTATTAATTTCAACAGTATATACTTACTAATCCGACAATTAAATTATCATAACGGTAGGTGTTGACGATTCCATATGAGAAAGTGAAGCCCATTCGACGTAAAGAAGCTCCAGAGAACCTACCAAGTCGTAGTATTAATTATGTAAAGAGAGGGAGACGAAGATAAGAGTTGGATTAAAATGAACAATCTGTTTTGATTTAAGACACGAAAGGGTTGAGAATGATGATGCATTTTGAGAACCAACTCGCTAATTGGGCATATTGGAAACCTGGACTGGAAGATGATGTAATGAAGATTAAACTATAGCACTATAAATCATAGGTTGAAATTAGTAGGCTGAAAAGAACAATAATAACAAAAGACCAATAATCATTAGTACAATGTAAATATAGGTGCTCATGCAAAGTGATATTTGTTTTTCTTACACATAAACTAAGTACACTACCTGCTCAACATAAGAGGGTATGCTAAAACAGAAATGTTAATATCAATTTAGCGCACATTATGATGAACGTAGAGCATGAAGATGGAAAAAATTGAACTTAGTGGACAAACAACTAATTCCCATTTGATTCTATAATTGCGGGTAATGCACATTGCAATAAACCTTGCTAAAAATAAAAGTTGAAATAATATGAACTATTATTGGTCCCCAGATAGTGTCTTTGAGTTCTGAAACCGCACGAAAAGTATCAAAATTTGTTAAGTTTGAGGACAAAGAATCACAACTAAGCTAAGAAGCTAAATAGATTTAAAAAAAAGAAGAAGTTGAAATGCCTATAGATATTACAGAACCGAGAATACACTATTGTAACTTGCATAGTCTTAGCATTGTGCATAAACAGAATCCTGGGAAAGAAATTGAAAGATGGTTTAACTTTTTCTGAAGGGTTAATACCTTAGTTTGGCCCGAACTATCCACATACTTTCTACTTTGGCCCGAATTATTGAATATTGCTACTAGGGCCTGAACTATGTAGCAAACTTCCTCCTTTGGCCTGGAGGCAGGTTTGACCGTCAAATTAGACGGTCAAACCTGTTGACTGTTAGTCAACGTACACCTCACCTGCCACGTCAGATTGGAGAAACATAAAAAATTATTTTTTATTTTTTATTTTTTTCTTTCGATTAATAACATTAATAATATAATTCTTATACCAAAAAAAACTAAAAAATCAAATAAAAGAACGAAAAAAAAGAAAAAGCCCAAAATTATCTCAGCCCTTCACTTCCCTTATCCTCCCGCATCAACCGGAGACTATGGAGGGCTGACGACCCGATCCCGATCCACAACCCGGAAAAAATGGCCGCCTCCACCTTCCTCGCCGTCGACGCATCCTCCAAACTATCCAATCCAGTTGTTAGAGCATCGCCAACCGCCGCCGGCAAGACTGCTTTCCTCCAGCTGCCTCTCAAGCTCCGCAACCCTGGATCCCTCAAGCACGCTTCCTCCTTCACTGGAAGCAGGAGATCCTTCTCTTGCACTAGCCAGGCCGCTTCCTCCGACGACGCCAGACCTCCATGTAACTACTCTCTCTCTCTCTCTCTTCCTGCTCTGTCAATTCAGATTTCTTTTTTATTTTATTAATTTCGATTTCGATTTTTTGCAGCCAAAGTTCAGGAGCTCCACGTCTACGAGATGAACGAGCGAGATCGAGGGAGCCCCGCCGTCCTCCGATTGAGCCAGAAGCCGACCAATTCCTTCGGCGATCTCGTCCCTTTCGCTACGGAGGGACCGCGATTGGAAAAGCCTGCACCTAGGGCGCCATGGAGAGGCTCTGTTCCTCCGGCGAAGGAGAGTTATCTGCCCTCCAGTTTGAGGTCGTCCGAGTTTCGGTGCCAGGGAGAGGCTGATGGTGATGTTGACGATAGAGCTGGAGCTGGCGAGCAGAGTCAGAGAAAGGGGATAAGGGAGGTGGAGGGGTGAGATAATTTTGGCCTTTTTCTTTTCTTTTTTGGTTCTTTTAATTGACTTTTTAGGTTTTTTTTGTATAAGAATTATTATTAATTTTATTAATCGAAAGGAAAAAAATAAAAAATAAAAAATAATTTTTTATGTTTCTCCAATCTGACATGGCAGGTGAGGTGTACGTTGACTAACGGTCAACAGGTTTGACCATCTAATTTGACGGTCAAACCCGCCTCCAGGCCAAAGGAGGAAGTTTGCTACATAGTTCAGGCCCTAGTAGCAATATTCAATAATTCGGGCCAAAGTAGAAAGTATGTGTATAGTTCGGGCCAAACTAAGGTATTAACCCTTTTCTGAACTTACCATACTAACACAATATTCATCTACAATCAATTATGGGTAGTCGTGTACCTGTAGAGTAAAATAGTGGGTATGTGGATCTCTCTATGTGAGAAAAAGAGAGGTTAAAAGTGATGAGAAGATGGATCAAACATATGAGCAAATCTACAAGAGTAGCAACAGGATGGGAGTAGGCAATCGGAAAAAATACAAAATTTCAAAGAGAGGTGCTTTCCTATTATGCAGCTGGTTGATTCTACACATAGAGGGATTCGATTTGAAAGTGATCTGAAAATGGATTGAGCTTCTACATGACTATATATATGGCACCCGCAAGAATAAACTTGGCAGTAGAAATCAAAACAAAATAACCTACGTAGGGAGTTGAAGATGAGGGTCGGAGAGTACACCTATCGACTGATAAGTAACGATGCAGCAGACTTGGCGATTCCCTCTCACAATTAATTATGTGATCGATGACTGGATTGGAGGCTTTGATCTCAGTTTCCTATTCAGCCAAAACAAACATTCCCATAGAGAACCCTAACTTGAGATGCGAATGAATTTCATAGCAATCTCGAACTGGAAGTGAAACCTTAGATTATAAATCAATCATTATTGTGGAGACGTACAACCATTGCAAATTGAACTGACCTATCAACGGACAATTTCCATACAGATCACTTGCTAGAACTGGAAATGCCTTGAAGATTGTGAATCAACTGCCACTCATGTCGCCACAAAGCATGGGCAAATAAAATTGCACCTGAATCCATATATATATCACGGCAGCTATGATGATGTCAGAACTCAGACGAGATAATTAGTGACTGAAAAGCAGTTTGACGATGTTGAGCATCAAGAGCGGGTGAAGAACATGGTCGTCACTGATTGGAGAAGGTGATTTTGTGTATTGGGAGAGGGTGAAGAAGAAGAAGAAGGGGTACGTAGTCGGCCTTCTCTCAGACCATCTAACCATCACAGTGGAGCTCTTCTCCCCGTTGAAGACGAGAGTTGAAGGAAGAAAGATTGGAGAGAGAGAGAGAGAGAGAGAGAAGACTCTCACATAGAGAATTTCCTATCGATGGCCAGTGAAATATCCGACCGCGTCACCGAGCTATTCAGGGAGATCACCTCCGACTTGTACTCCAATTCTCCTGCCTCGGTCCTCGTGGGAGTCGTCGCACAGGAGCTTTCATCTTCCTTCCCGACTTAGTGAGGCAAATCAAGTTGCTGATTTTAATATATTTCATCTGCGTTGATTCCTATGGCGCCGGAATAGAATCCACCGATGCTCCACGGCTCTCCCTCCACCGGCGCTCCACGACTTCCCTCTTGTAAAACTGCCCAAAGCTCTTGACCATAATAATTGGCGGTTACTGATAAGGGAAACACAAAACGACAAGGAGGGATGTGGAGAACGCTGCTTTTTTTTATGGGCAATATCAAAAAAATTTATTAAGCTCTATGTGATTTATACACATCTTGATCATACACTCTGCAGCTGAACAATAACTGCACTACCAATCACTACTACAGTGCAACTAGCAAACACTCTACTACTCTCTATTGTTACTACACTTCTGCTACTACACTTCTAATTACAATTGTGATTACTGAAGAAACACTGCTCTACAATCCAAATCCAATGCTGTATTTCCTTGTCTGGCCAACTCAATCAGCCTTCTTACTGTTCTAATGACCTCCCCATATGTCATGGACTTTCCCCCATACAGCCTACCACACCTTTCCCTCCAGACCATACTAACTACTAAGTTCCAAACCATACGACCCACCATAGCTAACGCCTTCTTTCCCTTAATCTTTCCCTTAAAGTGTCTCACAGCCCACGCCAAGTAGTCATCATAAGTGACCAGCTGAGGACACCTCTGATCAAGCATCTACAAGCAACCCTTCATCACCTTGAACGTGTAATTACATTGGAAGAATAAGTGATCACGATCCTCTATTTGAGCAGAACAGAGCAGGCATGTGTCATCCAATACTTTTCCCCAGCCCTTTAGTTGCGCTAAAGTAGTTATCTTGTTACGTGTCACAACCCAACTCAAGAAACTATGTCTTGGAAGAGAGTGTCTTCCCCATACGAGCTGATACCAAGGAACTTGAGGTCTAACCGGCTGTAGATCTTGCCAAACCTGTTTTACAGAGTATTTCAACACCCTTTTATCCTTCCAATACACCTGTGTTCCCCAACAACGAAAGAAACCTTCCACCTTATCCCTTACCTTGAGTAATCTCTTCCACACCCAAGAGGCTGTGCTACATGTTCTTAATTCCCAGAAGCTAAGTTGTTTGATACGATACTTGTATATCCACGCAACCCACCAGGACCCTTCTTTAGCAAGCATATCCTAAATATGCCTTGTAGTACATGCTATATTCCATGATTTTAAGCATCGAATGCCTAGTCCCCCTTCCTTCTTTGGGATTGCTATCAAATCCCAGGCCACTACCGCTTTTTTCCTCATGGATTCATCATCTATACCCCAGAGGAACTTACTACAAATCCGATCTATCTCCTTTATAATAGACAGTGGCAGTAGGAAAACATTCATCCAAAAGTAAGAAAGACTACTCAACACCGAGGTAATGAGCTGAAGTTTACCTGCATAGCTAAGCATCTTAGGCTTCCATCCTGATATACGTTTAGTGATTTTCTCAATGAGCACTCTGCAGTCACTTGCAGTGAGCTTTCCTGCAATGAGAGGAACCCCCAGATAACGGACTGGGAATGAAGCTTGCTGAAACCCAGCCAACTCTGCCAGTCTAGCATGCTCTGCCTCTTCTATCCCTGCACAAAATAATTGGCTCTTTTCTGGGTTAAACCTTAGCCCTGATAACCTATAAAATTTGTCCAACAGCCCCTTTACACTGTCCACAGCTTTTGCAGAACCATTGGAAAAAAACAATAAATCGTTCGCAAACACAAGATGTGTAATTCCCAGTGTCTTACTGTAAGAAGAGGTCGAGCGCGAGACCTAAGAAGAAGATTGGCTTCTTTGATAGTCTTCTTCGATTCTGCAGGAAGAAACCCTAAAGATATTCGAGAGTCAATTGAGAAGAAGGTGCAGTCGAAATCTGAAAGCCAAGAATGTAATCGAAAAATCGACAGAGATCAAACAATGGGCCCGTTTGTTATAATTTAAGTTTTCGGCCCAGACGATTTATTCTATGAGCCCAATTCTATGGAAACAGGCTTAATCCAGCCATGAAGCAGAGAAGGCTTCTTCCTTCCTGACTCTGCTCCTGTTCGTCTTCCCTGTGTCAATCACACTCCAGCAAACAGTAAAATGGTTAAGCAATTGGAAAACTGAAAGAGATGAACACACAGGCAATTTTTACGTGGTATCCGGGACAGGGAGAATGAGTATCCCTGTTCCGACTAATCCACGGTTGAAGGTTCTCTTCTTGAGACCTTCAACGTTTCACTACTGGTTTGGTTCTTCCAAGTTCTCTGTTACAATGTCACCTATAACACAGAACTCTCAGACTAAGCTGGCAATTCTTCCTAACCAGGCTGTATCCTTACTCTAAGCTCGAGACTCAATACACCTAGTTAGCTAAGCAATCACACGGATTAACTCTCTTTTTCTTAACAAGATCACTAGCACTTTCACAGCTCTTTCTTTCTTGTTTTGCTCGAAAAAGGTTGTCGTATACTCCACCCTTTGTGTCTTCTTATACTCCACCTTCCCAACGTCTCCTTGATGGATTTTCCATTTCTGACTTGTGAGCAGAAAAGGTAGGTTGTGCTAATTTGATTTCTTTTCAAATCTCTCCAGACCATTTGTCCAGAGACATTAACAAGCTTTCCAAATCCATCCATTTGCCCGTTGAGTTGCTTGAGCAGAGGAATACATGAGTTTCCTTCAACATGCTCCCCCTAAGCTTGTCAATGGCTCTTTCCTGCTGCTTCCTGTTTTTAATGCCTGCACACACTAAACAAACACGTAGGTGCAGCCTGTTCTCCAAGATATGATTCAAATCCCATTCATTCAAGCAGAAATCAAATTCCAATTCCATTCAGGACTTTATTCATTAAGAAAACTGAAAGACAATAAGGGAGCAGCTAGTGCTGCTTTTGATCTAACTAAAATTCGTTCAGACTCTGTGCTGGGACCTAGGTAGACTTCAAAAGTCTAACTAAAAGGGGTAGTGAGGCGGAGAGTCATAGTCAGAGATATCAGCATAGTCTTCAGGTTCTTCAACAGCTTCATCCTCCTCTCTGATACTTGTACCCCCGCCATCCTTGAGCAGCTTCAGGCGGGTGGATAGAGAGGCTAGAGTGGTTACAGGTATCTTGCGCTTCCCTTTCAGTTCGTTAGAGAACCCAGAGAGTTCACGATCAATCACAACCTCTGCAGCAGCAACTAAGGCCTTGGCCAAGGTAGCAGCTTCTCCCCCTGAGCCAGTGACAGGCTTACGGGGGCCAACACTGGCATCCAGGCGCGCTAGAACATGCTGTGCCTTTAGGTCATCATGAACATTACAGAGGGTGACTTTATCACGGAGATCGATGCCTAGTTTCCTAAGCAACTGAGTGATGAGGGGAGCTAGAGGCAGCCACCCATCATAGTTATCATCACCGTACTTGACTAGATGACAGAAGACCAGATAGGCATAGCTTATACGCTGACCAGTTCTGGCATGGTGAAGGATCCAAATATCGGAGGTGTGAAGCAGAGTAGCACTGGAGAGAGATCTGGGAAGAAGGATCCTCGTGATGAAGAAGTGCAACACACGCAGGTCATCAGGTAAACGTCCGGCAGAGTGCTGATTTGGGAAGAAGCGACCAATGTCATGGACAAGAGTGTCCATGATATGACAGTAGTCAAAATTGTAGTCATGGAACTGACCATCATCACCAGCCCTAAGTCCATCATGGGGCAGCCCGAGTTCACTAGCCAACAAATCGGCAGTGACAGTGATCTCAAAGTTGCCAACAGTGGTCTTGAAGGAATAGAGATCTGGCCCTGACCCACGTTTGAGATTGACATAGAACAATCTCACAGCTTCTGGACAGTAAGTATAACGCTGATCCTCGAACAAGGATTCCCATCCCAGATTCCGAATCAGGGTAGAGATGTCCATGTCATACCGAGAAAAAGCAGAGGGTTGGATGGTGAAGGATGGATAGATTGCACGATCTCGGAATCGACGCACATACCTAGGGTATTCCTTGTCTTTGCGGAACACTTTGTTGGAGAAGGTAACAGCATAATGCAGTTGACCATTGTTGACCATGATTGGATGAGAAAGAGAAAGAGATGTTTTTCGAAAGAGAAGTGATGAGTGACTGAAGGACTAAGAGGTCTGAGGAACTTATAGGGGATCAAGAACTAGACAGGGTAAGTTCCAGAGGGGTCAGTATCCATTAGCAGGAAAAATGAGGAAGGAGTATCAATTAAGGATGAAAAGAGGCAAGTAATGATGCTCCTAGAGATTACCCAGATCTTGAGGGGAGAAGAGCCCTAATTCACGCCTGATGTGTAGGAACTGGTCTACTGGCAAGGGTTTGGTAAAGATATCGGCCCATTGACAGTCAGTCCTAATGAAATCAAGATGTATCTTACCATCTTGGACTAAGTCTCGAATAAAATGATATCTAACTTCAATGTGCTTTGTTCGAGAGTGTTGGACAGGATTCTTTGACATGTTTATAGCACTGGTATTGTCACAGAAGATAGGTAAAGATCCGAGAGAGATTCCATAATCAAGTAATTGATACTTTAGCCAGAGAACTTGAGTACAGCAGAAACCAGCTGCCACATACTCTGCTTCTGCAGTAGAGAGGGCGACAGAGTTCTGTTTTTTGCTGAACCAAGAAATGAGGGAGGATCCTAGAAAATGACAAGCACCAGAAGTGCTTTTACGATCAACTATACAGCCTGCATAGTCTGAGTCTGTGTAACTATTGAGATCTAAACTGGAATGTCTGGAATACCATAGACCTAAATCAGGGGTTCCAGCCAGATATCGAAAGATTCTTTTAACAGCAGACAAGTGACTATTTTTGGGCTGACTCTGAAAACGTGCACAAACACACACACTGTACATTATATCTGGGCGGCTAGCTGTTAAGTATAAGAGGGAACCAATCATTCCTCTATACATCTTATGATCTATGTTAGTGCCAGATTCATCTTTAGAGAGTTTGGAGGTGGATCCCATTGGTGTAGAAGCTGATTTAAGATT